AAATAAATAAATAAATAAATAAATAAATAAAAGTAGCTGTACGTTGAATATATCTATATGACAGAAAACTGTTGTCTAACTATGGGTGCAACTGGATAGACCATCGATCTAACTCTGCGGGGGATTCTCCCTAAGTGCAATCACTGTACTCGGCTTAAATATCTGACATGCCTTCTTGAGTTGGGTAATTAACTAATTAACTAACTACAGAAGGAGGCGTGTCAGAAAAATTAAGCTGATTACACTGAATGTACTTTATCAAGAATCCCCAGCAGAGTAACGTTGATCCAGTTGAAACGATGTTGGAATCTGAACGTGGTCTATGATCCAAACCCAGCTTGTAGTAATTCAATAATAAAGAAAACCTATGGTCTAAAGTAATGTATATTTCCTATAACGAAAAAACATTCCCTCATGACTTCCTCTAGGATCAAAGTTCACTAAATTATCGGTTGTTAAGTTGAGGTCCAATCTAGACTTTAAAAAAGGGTTTCTTTGTGAAGTTTCTTTGGTTGTCAGCCATATGGATTAATTACGTTTTCACGTGGGCAGATATACAGCCAGCTGAGAGACCCCCTTCCCTCTCCATAATGTTTAAACGGAACCATTATATTATTTGCTGATATTTCATGTCAGCGACCTGAATATAAATTACAACACTGCAGGGTTGGCAAGTTTATAATCATCTTTAAATTGAAGTTAATCACGAGAGAAGGGATTAAAATTAGAAGCAAATCTCCTCGAACCAATACGTACAAATAACAGATTGTCCACCAGGGAAAGTTTGGTAAGAAAATAAATACTAATGGCGATGCAAGAATGACAGATACATCTCGGACTCGTGTGATACAATTTGGTGTTTGATCATTCCCATGTAATATTATATTGATATACTTATATTACCACATCAAGGGTAGAAGGCTCGGGTCAGCCCTAGGCTTGAACGTTATTTACCCTCAGTTCAATGTATTCATGTTGAGAGCGACATAGGCCAAAATATACATGTCTAATAACTACGTATTTTTTTTAATTAAAATAGATAACCTATATATAACATATATAACATATATAACAATACGAATATATTCTGGTACAGTGCGCCGTCAGAAGAATCTTCAGTCCAAGTCTCAATATACCCATATATATATTATTTTGATTAAGTAATTTAATTAAAGGCCACGTCACAATTAACGTGCGGTATTCAGGTTCCCATATATTTCCCATAAAGCAGGGCTATTACCTGAGATTCAGGGAGATAAGCCGGGTGACTGCCCGGACACGTACCGCCTCAGTGTCTGTCTGATGTAGCCAGTGTGAAAAAAAACGTTGAAAAAATTAAAATCCACAACGGTGACTGTCTCCTCGGCAAGTTATACAGGCCCGTAGCCAGGGGCGGTTCGGGGGGTTCGGGGGTTCGAAAGAACCTCCCCTTTTGCTGGGAAAAGGTCCACTCTGGGTAAAATTTGATGTAGGTACATGTAGTTTTTATGGGAAAAGGGCCACTTTTTCAGAAAAAGAACCCCCCTTTTGAAATTGCTGGCTACGGGCCTGTTATAGAAACCTCAGTAACCAACCTGGTTATAAAACAGAGAGAGAGAGAGAGAGAGAGAGAGAGAGAGAGATGAACCAAACAGAGACTGGACAACTTCTACATTGTATCAAAGAGATATCGTATCACAAAGAGTGAAATATGCCTCATGGTCCAGTTGTTCCCTGATATCATCTTGAGAAATTAGATGTAACACCTCCAATAATAAAGGACAGATGAAAACAATTACAATCCTCAGAGAAAAAAACTGTCTTTGAGTATATCAAATTAAGAAGTTGGTAAGGGATTCGATTGGCGATAATAAAGTTTATTTTTAATATAATTTGATAGGAAGGGAAATTAAAACAATCAGAACTTAATGTTGTGGTGCTAAAGTAAGCGCGCTGTTTGCACTTCCTATAGTATGCCGTGTCTCACTGCCGTACTGGAGATTGTTTTTATTCGATAACACCTACACCCTCCTCCTACCCCCCCCCCACCCACCCACCGCCAGGCTCCCTCTTCCCAACCCCTGTCCCAGTTATGTATAAAATTTCTTAAGGAAGATTACAGACAGAATAACGCTGAAGGAACATTTATGTACATCATTTGATATATTTATTATTTCCTCGTGTTTCATGTTTGACAATGTAAAAAATTATATCAACCATGTAAGAGACGTTAGGGGGTAATTATCGTGATTCGGTAGGCGTGACAGACATATAAGCCGGTTATTTTTGATAGCAATCTAGTGAGACTCCCCAGGGAGTAAGGTCGATCCAGATGGATCGATCTACAGTAGGCATGGGAAACCAGTCTAACTCTATTTATGTACGTACATGCACTATTAGGAGTCAGGGCTTAACCAGACATTTGAATATTGTCCGCACAGATTTTCAAATTCCCTAAATGTAGAATTACACTACAGATGAGGGCAGCCTAATCTATGCATGTATGTCCTATACAGCATTGCTTAGTTCTCACTAGTAATAAAAACCATCACTTAAAGTTTTTAAAGAGATTTTATTAAAGATATTTTTTAAAAATATCCCGCGATTTAAAAAATTTCCAGTATATAAATTCACCCAGAACTGTATAGGCCTGTTTATTTAACTAGGGGCTTACTTAGACATAAACTTTGGCCAGTGTACGAAGCGCAGATTATGCCTGCTTGCTTGTATCGAGCTAAATTCTGAGTAAGGATGCGGTGCTGTGGTTTGATGTGAAATACTGATCGTGACGGCGAATAGATTTGTCTTCGTGTTGGAGAAACAGTAATAATTCATTGGAAAGATATAATACATATATTTCAATTACACTCTTAAGAAGATGATCAGAGAGGCCATACCGCCTCCGGATATTGTACATCATATAAGGTTTGCTGTGTTAGCTGTGATTGTGTTCGGTGTGTATCGTGTGTGTTCGTATGTGTACGTGGAGGTCACGGGTTGAAAGACCGCGCCCCATAAAATTTGATTTCCACCTGAATGTCGGACGGAGATGCAGGTTGAATAACTGAAATAGCTATTCCAGTGATCTTGCAGGTAAGTTTAACTATATTTAATAAAGGACCAATCCATAGTTTAAATTCATACATTTCTAAATTTATATATTTATTTTTATGGTGTTTTTGTCATTGTTATATTTTTATTTCTTTGTTCTGTCTTTCCTGTCTTTCGTCAGTGTAAAGTTTGTTAATGTAATTGTTTAAAATTAATTTGTTTATATTGATCTTGCAGATATTTGGAGATATTTGGATATATTTGAATAATAACAATAAAGAAACATCAACCCGAGCTATCGGTCTGTTACATCATACTGGAGTAAGCAAAACCAAGAAAAAAAGGAACACTGCCACCAGTCTTGTGCTTGACAAGCTCTATAAAATATGCAAAAAAATGCGAAAAAACGTAACTGTAAAAATGGTCCATTCAAGCCGATTTTCGAATTGACGAGTATTTTCCTAACATTGATCACTCCTGTGATTTTCTAGACAATAAGCCTATTGGTTTTCCTTGAAATGTGTTACCAGTGTTGCATATATGCTGACAAAAGAGAAAATCTGGGGGCAACACTGGGCATATCTCTGCTATGAGGAGCAAGGAAAGAATGTGAAAACCGTTACGGATATGTTGTAGGACTGTAGGATGCGTAAGACCAGATGAAAACGAGGAGTTGAATAGTGACTTCCAACTGGGTATTTCTACAGAGTGATCTTTAAACTGCGCATCCTGTTGTTGTGTGCAAGGGTGGTTTTCGCCGTTAAATGTGAGAAAATAAACCTTGCTTTGTTGATATCTGTTCTGATTAACTTGAAAGTAAGTTACTAATGCAAAAGTGTGGGATAACTGTGAGTGAGAAAGCCGAGGGTTTGTGATCGTAAGTAGGTTTTTCCTCCTCTCTAGTCATCTGGCTCCATTGGCTATTTTTGAATTACTAGGAAAAGAAGTGGATGGACTAGTGTTTTGATATTCCTGTCCTTTGAGTTGAAATAGCTGAGCATGAAAAGGGGGTATGTTAACACCAGCCCCGCTTTATGATACCTTAAGTTTGAAAACTATGAACGACCTGGATACAGCGTTGACAGATTTTTCGGATAAGATTTCTTACCTTTCTCCTTCTTCTGACTCTTTTCTTGTACTTTCTACCTCTCTTTCTCTGCGTTGACTTCACGAGTTGACACCACGGAAACTGGAAATATTCTGCTTACGGTCCCTCTTCTGTGTTTATATCACGTGTCTTGAACCAATGGTCTCATTGGCTGGAAGGTCAAATTGATTGACACTGCATGGCTACCAGAAGTGCTGCATTTGTGCTTACCCCATATTGTATATCTTCCTGCTCGTTGGTGCCAGTCAGCCGGATGTGCATCTGTACAATCTTTTGCGCGCTTGTTAAAGAACGAATACGTTTGATTACAAACCAATTTATTTCATGCAAACGATAAATTTGTTTTTACTCCTCCCGGAAATTATACAACGCGCGGGACATACTGGTTTCGCTTAAATCACAACTTGTGGCTGACATTCCATTCATCAACGTACACAGGTACATTGGTGATTTTAATCATAATTTAATCAAAATTTGTTTCCAAAATGTATTAATCCTTAAATGCCGTTCACATTGCTTCGAATGAACTTAACATACAGACTAAAGAGTCCTTGGCATACAATGATATGTGTGGTGTCTGGCAAGAAATTATGCAAAACCCCCGCCGTAGGTTTCAAAGGAGTGCCTTTAGAGCTTTACGTCCAAGAGTCGACTTACATGTACATGTACAATGAACCAAGTCGGCTTAAGTCGGTTTAAGCCTTAGTAAAGCAAGTATCTTGTTTATCATTTAAACGAGAAGGGAACCCCTGTGATGAAAACCACAAGTGCATTATATAAAATATTAATTTATTGGTATTATGTTTAAATTAAAGCTTGCTCTTCATGATTTTTCATGAGGTAACATCAGTGATGACGTCAATTTCTGCCATTTTTGTTTAAAACAAAAGGATAAATAATCAAACCATAGCTGTTCCTATTGTTGCAATAAGTGAAAGACGTTGATAGGCCTACCATCACCATTCAGCGAAATGTCTCAATTTGGAAATAAAATTATCTCCCTTCATTGGAATATTTATATATTCAAAGACTGATAGAAAATGCTTGGTACTAAGGTCCAATCACGTGATGTTCGAGTCACGCCACACCGAGTTTCTGTTCCATTCGGTCAACCACGGGTAGTTCCGAATATTACCGAGGAGTGGAACAACCCGAGGAGTTCCGAATGCCATCGTCTTTTTCCGTCTTTCTACTTTTCGTTCACTGCCTGTTCTTCCGGCAGTGGGATCCGTTTGTACTCTGGCCTGCAGACTAAATATACCACACACAGTCCTGCAGATACCATTACCAAGCAAATGAAGTTCACCAGGACCGCCTCTTTGCCTTTCTTGCTGTAGTCTTCCCTGAAAACATGCATTACAACACAATGGGAAATTTTTCATATGACTTGAACTTTCAATGTTCTAAAATAATAATATTGACGTCAAATGGTCAGACCATTTCCAGCCAAGCAGTCGCCCAGCAGTTATATGGAAAGTGCGTTTTAGACAGTAAACTGCAAGGTGGGAAACTATCTTTTCAGATGTGGATGATGACGTCTTTTAAGTTTCGTAGATCAACATGTCTACCTGTATGTTTTAGCTTCGAAGAAAATGTAAAATATTTTCCATTATCCTCAATTGCATTTTAATTGTGGACATTCTAGAACAAAATATTTGCAAAAGTCAATTTTTCAATGTAGTCCTACATGTACTCTAGTTTCTGGTACCTGAACTCCTATAGTTATTAATAGAATTTTCACCGAACGTCCGAGACCCCGAACAACAAAACAGCACAAACACGTCTTTACAACACCTAGTGTAGATAGGCTACATTTACTTACACACTAAATATGATTTTCTCCACCATTCCCATCAGTGATGTGGCTATAGCCAACCCATACACGGCGACGCCCCAGTACCGATGTAGAGGCATCAGCATCTCGCGGCCATTTTGGCCCAACTTGGGATACATAAAAGCCACGAAGCCAAATATATACTGAAAATAAAGAGGGTTAAATTGGTTTTAGTTGTCTCATGTTAGAAGGTAGTTAAAAAAGGGAAATCTCTGAAATGACTGAAAGTGTTTTTACCTCTTAGCCATGTTTCGATCCATCAAACGACTGTGATCACGTGACGGATTCTTCGATTTGAGCTCTAAAAATTAGATTGTCATTCTAGAAGGGGAAGTTAAAGGGGCCTATTTATTTATGTATTATTTTTTAAAATTCATTTGTTTGTTTATTGTTTATCGTGAGGCCCTCATATTCTGTCTCAGAATCAGTTATGTTAAAGTTAGGTTTCTTTTCCAACGGATATATTCTGAAAAGTTAGTAACCGCATTCAGCGCGTTCTGCACAAAAAAAAATGATTGTGAATTAAATGGCAAAACAAGCAGTACCCGTACACGCGCACTCTACCGTTATCTCATCTCCGTCAACTAATAATCGCCCTGTATTCCCGCCAACTGCACGAGCTGACTCTGTATTCAGACCACGTGCTTGGCCAAGCTGAGGACGTCTGCACCAAAATGTCTGAATCTGTGAGTGTCAATGTAAAGATATTCCCTTTGTACGTTCACGTGTACTTACTTATGTTGACTGCCTATAGTTATCAACGCGTACACGTATCCTGAAATCCAAAGCTTGTTTTCTACTACATGCAAATAGTTTTTATCGCAATCTTGTTGATATCTTAATTCACTTGTGGCTTTCGAATTCTGACAAGCCGACCAAACTTGCAGCTATCGTTTAAATTTCCAGCGGTGATCGGACGACATAACATGGTGCCGGCAAGAGACCATTCCCAGAGACTATTGTACTAATTTTGAATCGAACAATCTACACGGGGTTTCTCGCTCAATTGCTTTCAGCTTATGTGGCTTAGATGTCTGTCACGCCTACTGACGCTGATAGGGGGTAATTAACTATCGTTTACCAGCTTTAGCAGGCGTGCCAGAAACCCTGTGCAGATGGACCAATCCTGTCAGATCGATCCAGGTATATATGGGAACCCAGTCTCACACGCCCTCGTCTTCCTCTTGTCCAAATGCCTAGGGCGTGGTTAAAGATAGAAGGGTGTGCCTCTGTTATGGCCTGCTCAAAATAATACCCCTATGTTCATTGGACGCATCAAAGCATTTTGATCCCCTCCCAAACTACCACCAGCAAAAAATAAAAATGATATCGAACAAAAAAGCGATTTCACGCTGGGGTGATCGAAGTGTCTACTTCTTACGTTAGGAGGCAAGCAACCACGGGAACGCAGCCTCAAAACCAGTGCCACATCCTCACGGCCTCTTTAATTGTTTATACTAGGTTTACAAACAAATGCTCATATTAGGTCAACGGGTGTGAATTAGGTCAAGTTATGGCAGGTGCTTTCAAAGTTCACGTGCACCCAAATACTGGATGTTATCACGAAGTTATGTCAACCGTCAAATGTTAACACCCGGGCTTACAGATTTTTCCATGTCTTCTCGTCCATTTCTTTTATGTTCTACGTTTGATCGTTTCAAGTTTGTATATTTGCTTGCATGTCCATCTTTTGGATGATTGAGAAATTGATTCTGAGTTTGTCTACTTAAAAGTAAAACCAACTCGATAAAACCCATTTTTGAGAGAGTGAGCTTACCGAGTGTGTGTGTGTGTGTGTGTGTGTGTGTGTGTGTGTGTGTGCGTACATGTCAGAGAGAGAGAGAGAGAGAAACCACGGTATTTACCTGCAACCCAAACAGTATAATGGTCGCTAGCCCCAGCCAGCTGTGAATACTGTACAGGTTGGCAATTTTGTACTGGACCAGGTTGTGGGAGTCAAATACCGCCTTCAGCCCCACTATGATGAAGATGACGGCAATGGCCTGCACGGAGGCGTGGACCACTTTGATGTAGATCTTCCTTTGATTTCGGAACACCCTGTACACCAGAATACCTGGGATAGAGGGTTGATACAGACATTTATATTATTTAGGTTGATTTTCAATGCGCTACTGTGCGAGTGAATATTTAATTACAAGGTTTGTCATTCTTATATGTTTAGACTGTATACATGTATATAAGACTACCTGCATTAGAATGCTACTTAATTTGTACCACAGATGCGATGGTTCAGGCGATTCAGCGATCTCAAAGAGCTGTCCTCAAACATATTTGTACCTGTTGGCGGCCATTTTGGAGCTCCTCTAATTCCACACGATTTTAATCTGACCAAAATGTTCTGTCCTTCAAAATTAACTAAAATGGCGCCTTACCCTCTCCATACAGAAACACCAGCCCTATCACCATGAAGAGAGGGTGGTAGTTGAACTCGACCTGGGGATTCTCCGTCCACGCGAACCCCTTTTGGTATTTGTAAAGCCACACTCCCAACATTACCACGAATGCCACCCCCAGGGCTTGCGACAAGGCGAAGATGAGCCAGAAATATATGAATGAGGAGGCTGGCTGCCGGGGCCGGGAATTGAGCTCTGTGCTGTAGTCCATTCTGACGGATGAAGGTCTGAGGACGATTTCTCTGAAATGATGCAGGTAAACAGGACTTGAGGTGATTGTGATTGAGTTAAGTGTCCATCGGGAAATAAAGAAACAGAGAGGTAAATTATTATTATTTTAATGTGGCTCGAACGATCTTATTATATGCAATCTCTACAGTCCTCGAGCTCCTTATTACGAGAAGCTCACCGTAACAAGCCAGTCTAATCCCTGCATTGTACCACCCTGCACATATCACAAAAAAATATGTACAAAATAAGTGTTCAAGTTATTTTCTGATATACTGTTATCAATCTATATTTCAACAGACATATATAGGCCTACCAGAGAAAGGATAATGTATATAGGCGGCGCGAAAATAGACGGGTTTCCCAAGCTAGGTTACAGACATTGCGAACAGGTGGCCTCCCTAAATTATGTCAACCTAATTAATCTGATTGAAAACGCACCCCTGACCCCCCCCCCCCCCCATCCACCCCCAACTCGGTCCCTAAACAATACCAACGCGTTGTTATGTCCCTTTACATATACATATGAGATGAATGTCCCAAACTTATATAATTTAGAACGCTTAATTCAAGCGTGGGCTCGAAATAGGACATTACGTTTTAGACTTACTCAGTGGATAACGCAATTCAAAATTCCACGGTTCGTGTCAGATTTACGTAAGGTAGCGCAAAGAAAACCCAAGTCCACATAATGACCAGTTTAATGGTTTATTGGTTGACGATCTCTAACTACATGTTCTATACGTGAAGCCTCCAACTTCTAAGCCGTCTCCCATAGCTCCGTCGAGCGGTCACCTTCGAGTCTTCTTCAGTCTGCCCCCCGACATCAATTCTATACGTCTTTTATACCTATTTCTTATCTTTAGGTGGATTCTGTGCTGCAGTATTTGGCGGTACATATTAATTTTAATTATTCAAATTGCACACGTCCACTTAAGTTACATAACTACAGGTAAGGCCATAAAACGAGTCGAGTGCACAAGCAATCGACTCTAATCAAATTAATTTACATGTCTGGGAATTATATTTGTGAACACTACAGCGTGCACCCTTGGTCTAGTAAACATTAGAAGAGGACAGTTAATCTAATGATGAACCACCTGGTGATAACCTAACACAAATACTTCAAAGACTGGTTCCTTATCTAACCCATTGTAGGCCTACGGCACTGGGACACGTTTACACGGTCGCCTGATTGCAGTTCAGTTGTGCATTTCTGATCTGACTCGGCACGGCCGGTGTGACAGGTATAGTAGTCCGCTAAGAACCGCAGTCCGATCCCTATTAATTTCTACAGGTGACATTCGTCCCATATACCCCGGGGGTACAAAACCCAATACACCGGTTAACCGTGACCTGAACAAAATATATGGGAGCCCGGATTTACATTCCTACGACAACCATTCCCGTCAAACTGAGACAATTCAGCACGATTCCCCCTCCATGTATAATTCGACATACTTCGATGTTTGCTTAAGATGCAGGAAAAATTTAAACGATTGACAACTCTTCGACCACGTGCATTTTATTCATTTTTAAAGTATATCTCAACATTGACTCAAACGCCATCAAATGTAATCAAGCTATTATTTTCGGTATATTTCACCCTGCGTGCCTTCATATGCTGGTACTTAAAAACGCCACGTGGGTAGCCGACGCTAATGCAGACAGAAGGCGTGTTTACACTGAAAATAGCTCTGCCCTGCTCGGTTCAATGATTCTCTGCGTGCCGCTCCCTTTGTGTGTGTGCGTGTGTGCGCGCGCGTGTGTATGCGTACACATGTACCCAAACTCTTCCAATTATTCCATATGTCATGCACACTGATAAAACGGGATGAAGTGAAAAGATGTTATCTGTCTTCATCCGTACTATTTGAAGAACAGTTGATGATTAACTCGTCCCCTCCGCCACGGTGTAAGCCTCTAACTGTGTATTTCCGTTTTGTGGACTCATTTCTCTATGGCCGCATTCAGAACAACGGACTTAGGCCTACTAGTTTACGGCCGACCCACTTGAATACTTCCAAGCGGGAAATCTATTCAGTGTCTGTTATACCCCCTTAACACCGGACGGCGTCCTTTCTGCGTCCTTTCTGCGACCATGAAATTTGACATCGCTGTGGTCTTAATAAGGAGACACGAGCATTGATTTTGTAGCAGAATGAATGCTCAGTGATCGGCCAGTTGTCGGCACGTTAAGTACCATAATTTTTTAACTCTCAAATGGGGCCGTACTGCTGGACGCAGAAAAGACGCCGTCCAGTGTAAAGGGGGGTTTAGCAGATTAGACGGCAAGTTTTTTTTAGTAGGTCTCCATGTGTGACCCTCGGACTAGTTAGTCCACTGTTCACTATTCTGAATGCGGCCATTGTCTATGCCTACCCAGTGTTTAAGTTCTAGGAGATATCTGCTCCCTTAGACCGGCAGAGATACTTAGCTCTCACAGTTCAGGCTTTTAAGCTTTTAAGTTTTTAAAAAAACTTTTAAAAAAGTACCTGGCGTCGATTGCTCCTTCTACAACGTGCAGGAAACTAGAGAGGTGAAAACATCTGGCTAGTCAATTAGCACTGTGTTATCTACTTATTTAATTAGGAAGAACATAAACCTAGAGTCCAGGTGCAGGCATGGATCGAGAAATGATTGATAAGCCGGAGATGAAGTCCAAAGTATTGGGGCGAGAGTATTCCAGGTATGCTTTTACCTTGTGTAGAAATGGAACAGACTTAATTAGAGTTCGTCATTAAGAATAAAGATAATTGTTCTTCAATCAACAGCTAATAAATAATGAAATTGTTTACCTCCAACATTTTGATGTCTGCCAGGCGATTCTTAAATTTTACCAGTTTCTTTTCAGTGTTTTCTAGCCTTGATGAAGATGCTTGGACTGACAGTGGAGGCAAACAATTTCAATATGTAACACAGCTGATGAAATTCATTTCTGACAGGAGAAAATATTTGTTTTCCTCGAGAAAAATCCTCATAGGGTATTTTACACGCCTTCACCAACATCGATAGCAGGACATTTCCAGAAAAATAGTGACGGACATGCCCAGTAATGTGTGTGTGTGTGTGTGTGTGTGTGTGTGTGTGTGTGTGTGTGTGACTACGGACAGTATTATAAATGTTCAGGCAAGCACAGAAAATACATTCTTAGTTAAGTTGTCATATAAACGATTTTATCTATGCTTAACTAGCACTGCATAAACTGCTTATAGCGGCAATTCTTTCTCTCTCCCTCTCTCTCTCTCACTATACTAGCCATCATATAAATGAACCATCCTTCTAAAGTCTTCACATTCTTCTCAATGCCAAAACGTCATCACATTGCAATTACTTCCTGAAATCAACTTAATCATGTGCCCCTATTGTAAAATCACAAGGAAAATGTATGCCAAAATAGGATATTTTGTTATTCTCTTTTTTCTTTCGGTCAACATGATTGTCCGTTTCATATTGCACATGCACGCATGTTCCCAAACACGCCCACACACACACACGTGCACGCATTCGCGCGCAAGCTTGGCGTACGATATACGCCTGAGTATAAACAATAAGAAAATTCAAGCCTCAAAACATCAACACACAAGCAGTGCTGAACTTTACCTGCCCTTGTCGCCGCTTTGCCGTAAATGACAGGTTGCCTTTCCGCTCTATCTGTTATGGTCCTATATAGTAGCGGGGGTAACGTTAATCAGGGACGTCACGTGCGGAGTCGACCCATCCCAATAACAGCGACTATCTGGGACCGTCATTAGGTGAATCATTAACTTCATTATTCTGATTCCTACACTTAGGTTAGACGGGCATATCGTAGACTGCTCATACTGCAAGACCAAGCTTCAGATATAAATAAACAAACAAACAAATAAATAAATAAATAAATAAATAAATAAATAAATAAATAAATAAATAAACTCTGATCATGCTAGTATGTTGAATTTGCCTGTAAGAACGAAAACTGCTGCCTAAACTATTATATGTGGGAGCGTTCACATAAACCTATCGCACAAGCTACATCGATCTAACTCAGCAGGATATTCTCCCTAAGTGCAATCACTTTAATCGGTTTAAATATCTGACATGCCTTCTTGAGTTGGATAATTAAGTAATTAACTAGCTACTCGAGGAGTTGCGTCAGGAAATAAAGGATATTGCAACATTTTATCATCATCCAGAATCCCCAGAAGACGTAGGTAAGAAAATAAATACTGATGGCGGTGCAAGGATGACAGGTACACCTCGGGTTCATTTAATTTATTGCACTTTGGTATTTTATCATTCTCGCTACTTCCAGGAAAGACTGTTGTAGCTACCCCTAGGCTAGAGCCTTATATGCCCTTAGAACGTATTACTATTCACGTAGACAGCATTATAGGCCGAAATACACAATGCGTAATTTGTCATACCATAGAAGTAGACTTAAGTTGATTACGTATAGAATACGGGTATGTTCTAATACAGTGCGCCGTCAACAGAATCTTCAGCCCAAATCTCAGTATACACATTTCAATTTAGTAGTTTAACTAAAAGTCACGCCCCAATCAACGTGAGATACGCAGGACCTCTCATTTTCCATAAAGTAGGGTTATCATCTGATATTGTCAAGGTTTAGGTAAGAAGTTGGTAAGGGGATTCATTTGAAGATAATATATTCTTAATAAAGTACTATAATGTGAAGGAAAAGCAAAATAAGGACTTATATAAAATTTCGGCAGACAATGGAAGCGCGCTGTGGTCACCTCTTAGGTTTGCCTCTCTGCTGAATTGAAGATTTCGGTTTTATCTGATAACAACCCCCCCCCACCCACCCACCCACCCACCCCCCGCCTGGCCCTCTCTTTCCAACCCCTGTCACCGTTTTATGTGAAATTTCTAAAGAAAGATTACAGACAAATTAACACCGAATGAACATTCAGGTACAACACTTGATACATTTATTATTTCCTGGTGCTTCAGGTTTGACAACGTACAAATTCTAACAATCGTGTAACTTTATCTGTGTACGTACTACTAGACGTGCTTGTGAGTATTGCACTTGAAGTACCGAGTCAGAATAAAAGTCATTTCTCCTCATATGAATACATTAAAAATTGCAGAGGATTTCAGTTCTGGTTACACATTACAAACTATTCCACCTCATCTGGTAGTGCGACGCCATCAAATTTTCACAAAAACATAACTTTTCAGTTTGAATAGTATATTTACAATAATTCTAACCCATAGAAAAATTAAAATGGTTATTAATTAATTCCTTCAGTGCCTATAAATCAACAATTACTGTACTGAAATTAAGAAAAACTGTCTGGTGCCTTAAATGTGACTTTTCTTCCTAACACAGACTGTATCTCAACATGAGCTGGGTAAGTATTGCACTTTCTAAAAAAAAAATCCATATACAGGTCCTTATTTTCTCTATATGACTGGTGCAATAGTTAGGGCTGACTGACTTGTGTATAAAATATATCATTTCTTAAATGCTGTTCACAATGCTCGACTCTTAACTTCAAACTCCACTGAACTCCACTCCCAAAAAAAAAGTTAAATAAAAAACTTATCTGCATGCAAAACTGAAAGCGATGTCAGGTGAGAAGCAATTTAAGGCTCCATTCAGAACAGGGTACTAACTATTCCAAGGGTCAAATATGGCCAACCCACTTGAACACTTCCCGACGAGATATCTATATTCAGTATCTATTAGCTAATTAGATGGCAAGCTTTGTAGTGGGTCACTATATTTGACCCTCGGACTAGTTAGTCCCCAATTCTGAATGGGGCTAAGCCTCCCTTCCACCTGTAACAAAATCTTACATCTACCACCGATAAAACATTCACCACAGTGTTACAGTACAATAGCGGTAGCACAGACAAGTCTTATCTAATATAGCGACCTATTATACCTACTAACATACATGTATTACTCTACATGAGCAAAAATATGCATTAGCTTGGTAGTTGGATCATATATGATAATAATTTAACATAAGCTAAGAATAATTTCATACTGTTAGCTGAATCATAGTAAAAACTCAAGTCAGTTTCCTGAAAATCTACATCCATGCTGGCTGCAAGCAAATGGTATTAAATAATTTTCAGCTTGTGTTTAATAATTATCATATATGACATTATTATATTCCACTACAGTTAGATTTAAACATATAACACTAATTATTCATTTACTGTATTATATCTTGAAAGACATTTTAGCTTGTAACTTCATAGTTTTTTTTATACACCTCACTCCATTCCTAATTAAATATAATAACCTCTTTAATCTACATTGATGGCATTTATGTTGAGACAGCAGATGTGTGATTTTTCTTATCTTACATCTTCCAACTTTTTTGTAAAAATTTGATTAAAATCACAACCCCTGCTCAAAAATTACAATTTTTATAAAAAAATAATTCATATACTTCAAGTTTTTTCACAAAGCTTTCACAATTCAGATTAGACATTTTCTTCCTCGGGCAGAATAAGCTATGATTTAAATTCTATGGGAATTCAATAATTCTGTTCTTTTGCTTAGAAAACCGGTCTGTATTATTTGTCTGACTTTAGTGAAAATAATCTACTCTTAAATCCTCAGCACACACTCACTGAAGTATTGAGCAGACAGGAATGCCTCACATGGACCCTAGCAGAGATTAACTTACATTACCTACATTGAAAAATATAAAATTAAAATTAAAAAAAGCTATCACACTTACTACATTTCCACTTTATTTTTATCCTCTCACATGGTGTACTTAGCCACCAATAGATGGCAGTTCAGTAGTTGTCCTGGGCAAATGTAATATTATCTACTGTTATACCACTAATAAACTTTACATTACACCAATATCATATTATTTAACCATAATTATATAAGTTTCTCAAATGAGTGAATGTTTTTGAGTTATAAATTCGGTAGAATTAGAATGCTATCTATGTATACCTTTGATATTGGAACTTACATTAGCAACTGACCTACTCTGCAATTTCCCCACACGCCAGAGATACTGGTCAAATAAAAGATGAAAAGGATTTCCCCATTCTTGATCTGGAGGAAAACTGGAGCAAACATGGCATCAAAGAGGCTATCTGGGAGCAATGGAAAACCCAATACTCAACAGAAAAGAAGGCCCCAGGTTTTACTTCTCACACACATGGGAAGGGGCACTGGAGACGATTGCCAGTCATGTGACAGTACCAGTAGATCAGGTGACCAGTCCATCCATGCCATTTTCCTAGTGGAAAGTCTCGGGTTAAGAATGGAACTTCAGTCAGTTGCTCAATGTAAGTTCCAATATCAGAATTATACATAGTTATCATTACAACAGTTTCTCTTAAAAACAAGAAGAATTGCCTGTTCTTTCTGAAGGGCAACTTCACACAGTTTTTCTTCTCTCAAATGTTTCAACCAAAGCTGATATGATTTCAAACGCTATACACAGAATACAGGTTCTAATGCTTTGCTCAAATATATGAGATTCTTCAGTTTACCACTGTGTTACAATGTGCGTCACTAAGTCCTGTCAGTTCACAGCAACTTGGAACATCTTGACTCAAAACCCAAGTCAAAGGTTAGTCTTTTTCAATAATTCTTGCCTAAAAATATTAATCTAACTTTAGCGAGGATAAATGTTAAGTAGTGTGCAAATTTTTAGCAGCACTTGTCCTCAGATGTTAACCATTACTAACAGTAACCTTCTGTCTTTTAATAATAATTTTAATTAGACTGACCTAATTTTTATGAATGAATGCCACGACTCCACCAACCAAAAAGTGAGCTCCACAAAGATCAAATACAGCAAGAGATAATTTCTGTGTTGTAAATTGTTTCAAAACCAGTGTATCATTCATTACATGCCTCCAATATGTGCTGTATGTATATGAGCACCAGCTGAAACACATGCGAATCCTGATTTACATCTATACACTGTAGGAAGCCACATAAACACATTAAAAAGTACCTCTCAAATTTTGTATTTATGAGTTCCCATCCATAAACTTGTGATTAACTCTCCATCCCCCTGCTGTGATCCTGGATTCACTTGCAGTTAGGGAGGAATAAGAGTCGAAAAAAATTGTTAAACAAGTGACGAATGTAACTGTAAACACTGTAGAAAGCACATCTTTTCTACTGAAATTATCTAAGTGCTCTGGAAAACTTAACATGCCTTTGACAATCTTGTTTTTAACAACACCAGAACACAACACCAAGCATGTCAAGCTGTTAGCACAGTTGGAAAACATGGGAAACCACTATCACTGAGACCAACTCTTGGACGACTGGATTCCCATGCCTAGATTGATCTAACAGGATCGATCCATCTCCAAGGGGATCTAGCTAAATTGCTTTTAGCTTAAGCACGCCTACTGGAGCTGTTAAATGATAATTAATTACCCCCCAAGCAGCAGTAGGAGTGCCAGACATCTCAGCCCCTTAAGTTGATTGCAATTTAAAGAGAATCCCCTTGGAGACAGATCCATCCACAGTTAGTACGATAGGGGCTGGGAATGATCCCTTATTCTTGGTATTCCTGGAGCTGTAGTGTCTGCTCCTCGGCCAGTGGTTGTCTCTTGTAGTCTGGGTGACTGACCACGTAGATGACCACCAGACCCAGACACAGCAAGGCCAGTCCCAGCATGTTGGTCAGTAGTCGCTCAGGGTCCTGGAGACTGGACGTCCTGCAATGACCACAGGGGGGAACCTTTTAATATCCCAATTAATAGTCATTTATAAGAGACCATTCAGAACATAAGATCCAAGGACTTACTGATCCATGGATCAAAAATGGCAGACCCTACATGAAAGAAGAGCTGACTAATCCGCTGATGATCTCCCCGCCTCCACATACGCCGTCCTTGCAGGCATCTAGGAATTAAACTTTGGAGCCCTGATTTAATCCATTTAATGGTGCGAGTGGAGGTGGGGAGACCATCAGCAGATTAGTGTGAACTGTCTCTATGAGCCCATTCAGAAGAGAAGATCCTAGAATCAAATATGGCAGACCCTACATGAAAGAAGAGCCCAGTCTGTTTTTCTTTCATGTCTGGTCCACCACATTTGATCTGCATGGCCTCTAAGATAAGAGTTTATTCAGACATTGATATACAGGTTAAAATTCACATCTAACGGAAATCGGATTGCTATTTGGGTAAAACGTATAAAGTATAAGGCAACAATGTAGTTTCTAAAAATATAGTTACTATAAATTGTATTTTTGTTGTTAAAATGAGAGACAGCAGATGGGTAAAAACTCTTCAAAAACCTTTTGGATTCTTTAAAACTGAAAAGTCTACAGTTACTTATTTCATAACTGTATGACAAAATTAAGGGTGTGATTTCTGATGGAGTGGAACTGAAAATTCACGAGGTTTTGCAATTATCTAATAATTTTTTGTCCATCATGAAAGCTGTTTCTGTAGCCATCCTCAAAAGTTACATATGTATCTAAAATACCTTTCATTTAAATGTAAACTATAATTTAAACCAGTTAACAATATCTAATTCCTTCCCCATACATAAACAGTTGCTAGAGCTTTCATGCATAACTCAAATAATGTTCATTTAATATAAGACCTCTCATACTTACAAACCAATAAATCCAATTTTTTCTATCATCCCCATGAAGGCTGTGGCTATAGCCATGACGTATATCGCCATTCCCCAGAAACGGTGAAGAGGCATGTACAATTCTCGCGCATTCTGGCTCAGCTTGGGCCACAGGTAGCTTACAAAGCCAAAGACAAACTGAAAGAAAATACCAGTCATTATTACATTAAGGATGTAGTCATTTCATCACTCATTGTCATTAAGTAAAATTCAAAGCACTTGAGAAACACAAAGAAAAGCAAAAGTTTATTTTTGCACAATGTTTAAGATAAATAGCCTGGGTATAGATCACGTAACAATAACAAAATTCCAGTGCCACAGTTATACACAGTTATTAAAACTTATCTAACCTTCTGACCAAAGCCAAACTACAAATATTTTCAACTATTTCTTAACCAGGTATGCAAGTGATTAGGTATTTTAATCAATGATCAAAACACTAATATTCATTTAGAGGGACAAACTTTTCAAAATTATCAAGAGGCCTATTTTCAAATTTCACACAATTTTCAAAGTGAAAAACATTTTGTCAGCAGAGAATGGCCTTCTAACAAAATTTTCAAGACAGACTTTCAGTTTTCAAGTTTTTATCGTAGAAAGTATCTGTCCCAGCAATACCTGACTGGCAAAGAGGATCACAGTGGCCAGACCCATCCAGGCATGCCAGCTGTACAGATTGGGGATGGGTTTGGGTTTAGCGAGATTGTGAGAGTCGAACACGGCCTTCAGTCCCACGGCCGCAAATATGATGGCTCCTGCGTGAAGGCAGGTGTGAACTATCTTGATGTACAGCTTCCTCTCGTAGCGGAAGACGCGGTAAGCTAACATGGCTGGAAAAATATTTCAGTTTTATACTTTTTTGTTTTGAAAGTAGACCTATAGTACAGTACACATTTTATAATAACTATGATAATGCCTATGAATTAGTACTTGCAATACACATTTTAATGACAACAAAAAATGTTCAAACATGACACCAGCTCTGATGAGTAAGTTGAGCAAATGGACAAAATTTATTCTTCTAAAGAGAAAGCTGTATTTTTAAACATATCACATATTGCTATCTTAAACACACCAGCTCTCATGTGAATGAGGAAAGTTGAGAAAATATGACTGTTTGCAGCAAAAACTATCATAGATTCAGTTCAAAATTTTCATTAGGAAAAAGTCCTTTCTTTCATTTATAATACACCTTGCTTGACCACACAAAATAGTATAATACCAAATAAAAAATTTCAAGGTAGACTAAACTATAAAATTTCCTAAAAACAACATAAATTTTCCACTTTTTCATAGCCAAATTAGAACGTGTGGAACATTTGAATCAAACTGTAAATTTAACTATAAACAACATAAATTTTCCACTTTTTCATAGCCAAATTAAAATGCATGGAACATTTGAATCAAACTATAAATTTAACTATAATTTAATTTTACACTCTTTTTTTAGCCAAACTAGACTGTGTAGAATATTTGAACAAATTAAATTTGTCCAAAGTGTCGAGGACACAGGAGAGCTCCCCTCTCTGTCCATCACACTCACCATCTCCATACAGGAACACCAGCCCTAGGACCATGAACAGGGGGTGGTAGTTAAACTCTAGCCCAGGGTTCTCCATCCAGCCAAACCCCCCATGGAAGTGACCCATCCATACCCCGACCATCACCACCACCAGTACCCCCAGGATCTGAGAGAGCACCACAAATAGCGTGAAGAACCGCAGCGAGGTCGGCTGTGGCTGGATCTCATCGTAACTCTTCTGCATCTTGCTGTACTATGGGGCTGACCTAAACCTAGAAAATAAAATAAATAATGAACTAATACTTAATCATTTCTTAATCAACTAGAGGATCAGAGAGGCGATACCGCCTCCGAATATTGTACCACCAGCTGGAGCAAGCGCATTCGTATAGACCCCCCACATACACAAAATAAGGGACACAGCCACCAGTCTTATGCTTGACAAGCTATAAAAATGCAATCAACAAGAATTTTCAAAATACGCAAAAAATATATATAACTTAAAATGGTACAATCAAAGTTAAGTTAAGGTAGGTCAAAGGTCAATTTCAAGGTCACAGTAAATTGCCAGTATATGACTTTCTATTCAACTACAATAGTAACTATGGACCTATCTCTGCCAGGTTTGGAGTTAAAAGAGAAAGAAATTAGCAGAGTTCAGTTCATGATTATAAGTAGGTCAAAGGTCAATTTCAAGGTCACACTTAGATTGCCAGTATATGACTTCCTATTCAAGTTCAATAGTAACTATGGACCTAT